TCTCAAAGGGAGCCTCTGAGTAAAACCAAAACATGGAGCTCTTCTAGCTGCTAAAAAGAAGAGCTAACTCTGTCCCAGGACAGAGTGAGACCCCAGAGCTCCGTGGTGCTGCCGGGGCTCTGCTGAAGGTCCATCCCTTTTCTAATTTATTTTTATATATGTCATATATTTTTAATATATTCTATATATTTTTATTTATTACTAAAATAGTGATTTTTTTAGAAGTTTTTTTTTTTATTTTACATTTTCTTCCATCTCTGTCGTGCCACTCCAAGACCCTCATGAGCAGCTTTGCATCGCGGGTGCTGGTGCCTTCCCAGGGAAAACTTTTGGAGCTCCCCTGCAGCCCTCCATGGACGGCAAGAGATGGTCCCACGGGTCCCTCAGGTACTACCTACACGTTCAAACTCTGCTGAATTCCACAGCAAATCACGAACAAATAGAGAATAATTTTTCCTCTGTGGTTTGAAGTATTGGAGAAAACTGTTGGAATATTCACTGAGGCAAAACCCTCTCTGGCTTCAAAGAAGATGTCGCCCCAGTGAACCCTCCGGAGTGCAGGCACCGGAGCGATGAGCGGGGGAAGGAGGGGGGCTGATGAACGTGTGAGGAGGAGATAATTACGGGAGGCTGCTGACATGCATTTATTGGCTCCGTGTCTTCAAAAAAACCATCTTCAGTCCTCGGTGCATGGTGCCAGCAGGGGAGTGAGCCAGCAGGCACCCATCAAGCCGTGCACCTCACTCAATGTTTAAGGACATCTCGGGTCCTCACCTCCCTCCTCCTCTGGCCGTTGGTGGCAGAGGGTCTCCCAGCCCGGAGCCGCTCCCTCACGTCCACCCATCCCCACTGTCTGGGCGGCAAAGACATCGCCCATTCCCGGACCGTCAGCCAGCACTTGCGAGCGCTTTGAATGTGCCCAGAACTACTTTATGGGTAATAATCTGGTTATTTTCCGCAGCCACTTGTGGCTTTCGACACCCTCTGAGCCCTCTTGCTCAACTCCAAAGCTGTTGGCCATCCGCGTTGCCCAGCTGTGCCGGCGCAGGTTTACGACCTGCGACGGTATTTATATTTAGGCACAGTCCCCGCGCTGCCAGCGATGAAAGGAAATCTGCTTGTAAATAACGACACCCGAAGGGCATTTGAACGGCACAACCTCTCAGAGCAAACATCTGGTGCGTTTGTGAAGTTTGCTTTGTCGTCTTTTTTTAAGCCTCTTCATCGTCCTTTGACGTGTGGCAGTTACCGGGGCAACCCGGCCGGCACGGTGGTGATGCCGCACGGTGACTCTATCAGCGCCCCGTTCAACGGTGATGCCACCAGCACCCGGCGAGCTGCTGCAGCATCCGTCACGTTTCGCCCGTGCTCACGTCGGATCCAGCCCTGCTGCGAGGTCCTGCTTCCCACTGGAGTGCCATGGGACGGGATGCTGCTCCGGACCGCGGGGCGACGGCTGCGGCCCCGGCTAATCCTCGTCTCCTTGCCAGCCCAAAGCTGATGTTCTTATTAACGTGACAACCTGGTCATGTGTAAAATTGTCATTTTGAAACTGTATGAATAATAAGGGGATGAAGAGAAGTGAGTAAAACGTTGGGGTGACAGCGGCGCCTGCAGGGCAGAGGGCTGCTGGAGGGGAACGACGTCTTTCGAAGGTAAAATCATTAGAAAACGCACGTGCAGCACCAGCAGCTTCACTTCCCCCTGCCAAAACCTCAAACAAAACCTTGAAGAAAAAGACCCAAAAATGCACAGAAACAGGCAGGAGTGTCTGAATTTGCATAAATCTGGGGCAAAAGACACCTGTCCACTCCTCAGCGCCAAGCAGGGTCATTCCTGGGACCAGGGAGGGACCTCAAGCCCCAGTTTAATGCCTGCACTGCTGGGCTGGCTGTGGAAGCAGCTCCCAGACACCCTCCATGCACACGGAGACTCCAGCCCTGGGTGTGGAGAAAACCTTTTAATCACTGTCATTCATCTTTGGGACACACTGTCTACGTTTACTTTCTTAGAACAAGTGCCCGAGCACTTGAAATTAGTTGGTTTTTTTTTAATGGTTGTGCACGCAGATGGGCTGTGCCAATTTGCATACTGCAGCCACCAGAGCAGAGGGACTGGAACATCCCTCATCCGCATGATGATGCAGTTCCTGGAAACCATAGCGATTCCGAGAATGGCTCGTGAGGCCGCATGCAGACAACGCATCTCGACCGGGAGCAGGTACAGGGCAGAGCCGCGCATCCCTGCTACCCCCGACCCTCGGTGCGCTCGCACAGCCACGCTTGGCCGCCCTAGGCGATGCACCCCACGGCACTGTGGAGCTGAAGGAGGATCTGAAAGTTTTCAGTTCAGTGGAGACATGAAAATCACCTTCACGAGAAACACGCCTGGGCTGTCCCAGCTCACCTGCTGGAGATGCGGCTGCGGCGCGGGACTGCGGGGCTGTGGATCCCTGGCTGCTGGTGCTCCCAGAGCTGCACCAGGACCCCATAGGCTCCAGTACCTGCACTGGGACCCCATGGTCTCCGGTACCTGCACTGAGACCTCATGGTCTCCAGTAGCTGCATCAGAACCCCACTGGCCCCAGTAGCTGCACCAGGACCTCATGGTCTCCAGTAGGTGCACCAGAACTCCACTGGCCCCAGTAGCTGCACCAGGACCTCATGGTCTCCAGTAGCTGCACCAGGACCTCATGGCTTCCAAAAGCTGCACCAGGACCCCACTGGCCCCAGTAGCTGCACTGGGACCCCATGGTCTCCAGAAGCTGCACCAGGACCCTGCTGGCCCCAGTACCTGCATTGGTGGGTTGGCCCCAGCCAGCGACTAAGCACCCACCAGCCACTTGTGCTCCCCACCAGTGGGATGGAGAAGAGAAGTGGAAAAACCAACGCAAGAAAAAACTCATGGTTGGAGCTTGGATGGACTCTGTAGCCGAGGACAGACACGTCTCTCACTCCTGACCTAGAAGAGGAATGAAAAAGCAACTCTTGGCCACCACCGACACTAAACCTTCTTGTGTGGCATCTACTACAAGACAGGTGGGAAATGCCGTGGTTTGAGCTATGCCTGTGCATGCGCTGCATGGGCAACCTTGCAGAGGCTGCTGCAGCCCTCCAAGTTTGTGTCTCCAGGAGGAAATCATAGAATCACAGAACGGTTTGGGTTGGAAGGGATCTCAAAGATTGTCTAGTCCCAACCCCCCTGCCATGGGCAGGGACACGTTCCACTACACCAGGTTGCTCAAAGCCTCATCCAACCTGGCCTTGAACACTTCCAGGGATGGGGCAGCCACAGTTTCTCTGGGCAACCTGTGCCAGTGCCTCACCACCCTCATGGAGAACAATTTCTGCCTTAGATCTCATCAAAATCTTCCCTCTTTCAGTTCAAAGCCATTGCCCCTTGTCCTGTCACTACACGCCCTTGTCCAAAGCCCCTCTCCAGCTTTCTTGTAGCCCCTTTAGGTACCGGAAGGCTGCTGGAAGGTCTCCCTGGAGCCTTCTCTTCCCTGAACAGATCCAACTTTCTCAGCCTGTCTCCATAGCAGAGGTGCTCCAGCCCTCACATCATCTTTGTGGGGGGTTCACTGCTGCGCACGGTTCGAGTGAGACTTTCTGAACACGCTCTGCAGGTAACGCTGAAGCAAAAAAATACTGTTGTCCCAGTGGGTAGATGTACTCCCGGGAGGAGCATATGCATAAACAAACATCTGCAGGAGAGCGAAGGGTTGCATGTGGTTCTCGAGCATCTGGTAATATCTCTTTTTGTCTAATTTCAGACAAAACAAAACAAAACAATAAAATAAAGTAAAATAAAATATCTATTTTACATATTGATCTCTCTCTTCTTGTACTTTGTACAGCGCATGGAGTCTTTAAACGCTGATGTGTTTTCTCTCTACACGGACTGATGAGTCCTGTGGAAACATGATGCCTGTGGGAAAACGGCGTAGGACCTCCAATTGTGATGCACATACATCGAGAA